AAATATTTCTGGCTACAAATTAAACCTGTTATTTATATTATTACTATGGAAAATTTATTGTCCTGTATATAGCATTCTTTCACATATTGAGATTCATCAGCATGTCCGATGTTCACTCTTTCTTCCTAACTTTTTTTTTTTTTTTTTTTTCTCAAACTTTCTATCGTTCTGGTTTGGAGAAGAGCAGGTACTGAAAAGTTGACAAAGTTCCATGAAAAATATGATGCCCTGACCTAGATGCTGGTCTTCACTATTCTCATCAGTGGCAAATAAACCAGAATGATTGCTTTTTTCAGTTTGCATTTGGCTCATCCCAGAATGGAGTCTGGCCTTTTAAAAATAGCTTTGTGTTAAAGAGTCCTGCCCACCATGTGATCCATGATAATCCCCAGATCCTCTTCTGCAGTAGTGCTACAGGGATTATTCTTTACTTGTTATTTGTGCATTTGATTTCTCCATTTGGAGAGCACTACGCTGTAACATTCATTGGACTTGATGTTTTTAATTGCTGTTCTGATTGATTGAGACCTTTTTGCATTTTAAGGTTTTCCTACGAAGAATAAAAGTTGATGACTGGCTTATTCCCGCTGACAGGAAGAGGCAATTCATCAGTGCAGTTTTGGAGCCATGAGCTGGCCTGGCTTCAGATTGTTCTGTGCCTAAGATTTTGGAATCAGCTGCAGTGGTAGTTTGTCTTTATATAGCCTCTCTGGCTTACAAATGCTTAGAGCTCTCTTAGAAACGTGATGTGTGGCACTAAGCGGTAGTTAGCCAGTATGAACATCTTCAGGATTGCTCAGTCTATGTAAGTGAAGCAGGAAGGAAAGATCTTTCTCCTGACGTGTTATCCAGCTTGGTCAGGCATGACGCCTGTTTGGGGCTCTTTCACAGGATGGCGATGACACAGTTTGGAATCAGAAGGGTTTTGGTCACAGTTTCTTGATAAGTGTATCTACTGAGCTCTCTGAATTCCTGAATTGTTGCTGTGTCTGAGTGGTGGGTTTGGAAAGACACAGGCTTCACTGTGACAACCTTCCAGGTCATCACTGTTGATTTTAGTTTACTAGAAATAGAAGTGTATTTCTGTATTTCTGCAATGGTTTATGCTGTCCCTTTTTGACCTTTCTTAGGTAATAGTCTTATGTGATACAGGGTTACATCTTCCTTGGAAATAAGCTTCTTGTGTCACTCTTCTGTTTCCTTGTATAGTTCCTCTCAGTCTGAACTGAGACAAGACCATTTTTCTGCCTTGATTTCCACTTGTTCAAATGGTATAGTGTCTCAGCAGTCCTGAGGGTGCTTCACCCCTGAGTATTGCTGCTTTCCTGAAGTATACTATCCCACATTCTGCAGAAGGGTTACAGGTCAGTCAGTAAGAACGTTATGGGGATGGAGTCCTTCATACCCGCACCTCTCCAGACATCTATCAGCAAAACCAGAAAAAGCCATAGGGGTTTTTTTTGAACCAAAGATGCTGATTTTTTTAAATTCATAACTTATTTAGGAAAAATCAATAAGCATTACTATGAGCTAGGTTCAGTTTAAAAGAAGCTGGTCACAAGAAAATAAAATTCACATAGAGCATTCTGCTGAGACAGAGCTGTAGCAAAATATAGAAAAGTATTTTAAAAAAACAACAAGCCATAACTATCTTAAAGATATGTAGGGTAAAATCACGGAATTTCAGAGGTTAAAAGTTACAAGGTATCTGCACTGACTTAGTGATACTGTATAGCTTGTGTACTTTGGAGAGTATTTCAGCTGTTGTTAACAACGGTACTTTAAAATGCTTGGAACAAAGAATATCAGGAATTCCTGATTAGTATCATTAACAGGCAAGCACTGGGGGGAAAAAAAAAAAAAAAAAAAAAAAAAAGCAAAAAACCCCCAACTTTACCTTTTTTAGCAATTTTTTTAGGTATGAATGTATTTTATTTCCACATACATTGCTTTGCCTTTTTAATTAGGAGGAAATAGTATGCAAGGAAAATAAGGCAGCCTTAAGTGGGCACGTGAGTTGAAGGCTGGTACTCTCATCTTGCAGAGGCCATGCATGAACACATGGCTCTAAAGAATGTTACCACTGAATTCAGCGTATCTGCTATCTCACACAACAGACTGAATCCCTCCCAGTGGTTATACTGGCGCAACCCCATCAGCTTGTTCCATTGGGGTAATTGAAAGCAGAATGCACCCAAAGAAACACAAATAATTCACTGTTGGATTAGTTTTAGTTAACTAATAAACAAGGCATGGCACTTCCAGAGTTTTGTCATCTTGTTTTCACAATAAATAGTCTTTAATTGTCTCATCTGAAGATACTAAAGCAGGCAGGAACATAAAATGGCATGACACATTTTTCTCTCGTTTTTGTTAATCTGTGAGGTAAGCCACAATGCTGATTATTAACAGCCTCCTCTATACTGCAGAGTGGCTTCAGTGATTCTGCAAATTGGCTAGATTTGAAGCTGTTAATTATGCAGTATAGTGCACTCCATAAAGGCAGAAATGAATGTGACTTGGCTCGGTTCTCATGTGAATAAATTGTAAAACTTGGACCTCTGTCTTGAATTCTGGCTTCACAGAGGACATGGACATTCTGTATGACAGGCTTGGTGAGGACAAATTATTTACTCCATTAAAAAATCAGAATAGGTTCATAGTAAAATCACATACCTGGCAGAAAGCCCATGGCTCTTGGGACCCTGCAGAGGTCCAAGGCTCATTAACAGGCGTTTGTTTTTATCGTTTTGTCTAAGAGCTGACAAACATCTTAAATCCAAATATCTAGTAAATCATAAGGATGGGAGCTTTTCCTCCTTCCCTGCATTCACCAACCATACTTGTATGTGTCTAGAACTGCCCACAGGCATATTAGAGTCCCTGTCTGCCTGCTGTAGAAGAAAAAAGCATGGTCTCCACCACATGCTGCTCATCTAACATCATGGCAAATGATAAGCGGGGGTGAGGGGAAGGTCGTCTTTCGGCTGAGGCTCTCTGTTTAGGTTTTTATGTAAATGTAGATGTTGCATAACAAATCATGACAAGATACTTTTACTTTGGGTTTCCACCTATAAATCAAGGAATTTACAGGATGCTGCTACTTCTGAAGCAAATCTTTACATACTTGTATCATTTTCTCCTGAAGTATGAAAGCAGATAAACAAATCATAGAAGAAAAAACAGCTCCATAAATTGGAAAGATTTTTAGATCTTCTAGAAATGTATTCAAATAAGGAGATACTATGTCAAATATATGACTATACCTTTTTAGCTGTTGCAAGGTTGTAGCAGTGTAACTGATACTAATTGAAACAACCTGAAAGCAGTATCACACGTCCAGCATGTCACAGTGATGAAAAGTAAAATGTCATTTTCACAGTTTCTTCTAAAAATTTAAGATATTCTTTAAAATATTCTTTAAAAAAGAATAGTAAGTTTGGGACTTGAATTGCTATTTTTTTAAACTAACAGTGAAATAAAATTACTATCGCAGCCAATGCCTTAATCCATAAAACAAAGAGGACTTTATAGTTTAAACATACTAAAATCACCAGTGTTTAATTCCTATAAACTGTTTGGTGTCATTTAAACTTTTGCAATAAATACATCGATTTATCTGGTTTAATTTTTTTTTTTTTTTTTTTGACAAACAAGAAAGGCAATAGTTGAGGAAAAACCTTAACAGTGTGATTCAGGCTAACGTATAGCACTAGGTTTGTTATCAACAAGATGTATTAAAATGGAAACAATGAACTAGCAAAGCCATCTTGTGCATGGGATTATTAAATTCACAGTTTGCTGTTGCTAATTTTTTAGTAGGCTTCAGTTGCTTGGGAAAGCTCATACAAACTCATTTTACAAAACTGATTATTAGACAAAATGCTCCCTGTCATTGCCACTGGAGGAATAGCTCTGAATCAGGGCTGTGTCACAAATGGAGTTAGCTGAATGACCTCAGTTCAATACCATTTACCTAACAGAATTATGAAGATCTTGCTGACATAATGAATAGGTTCTGCTCAGACAAACATAGTGCCTGGAGATAATGGAAATTCAGTGCAGGGCTGTTTGTTTTCTTTGGCTGATAGGAAGAGCTTGGACTAGTAAAGTCAGTCCTCATGCTTTTATCAGAATTATGTTACTTTTATGATGTGACAAAGGTCAGTCTGGTGACAGAGTTGCAATTATAGAGCTGTTTAGACTTGTTGGTTCTGCAAGATATTGTCCCTTAAATTATACTTCTTAAGCAGGTGCATTTTGTTCACTTTGATGAAATATGTGATGAAATGGAGTTAGAGATAATACAGAACTGAATCCTTTTATGTATCCTACAAAGGATATTGTGTTTTGTAGTCAGTGTTTCATGAGCAAACACAGAAACCAGCCTGTGCAGTTGATTCTGAAGGATCCTTCCCTTTTTTTTTTCTTTTTGATTCAAAATGTTGTTCACATTCATAGTTGTGAGAAAATTTTGAGAACAAAAATTGTTTCCATTTTTCAAATGCAGTCAGTGACCCATATACCAGTATGAGTCAAAGACAAATTATAATACTGAGGGCAGTTCTGTTATCAGATATTTAAAACAAGAATTGTTTATTAAAAAAGTCTCAGAATAAAACCAATTAATTTAACGTCAATATTAAGATTTTCAAAAGGAAAACTGTTCCCCAGTGTAAACTTCTGTTTCACCACCATGTTCTCAGAGCACTGTGAGAACCAAGAATATTTTTCTGTGTTGAGCCTTTATGGAAGTTGAGTGGCACTGTGAAGTACAGAGAGCTTCAGCTCTCAGAGCACTAGACATTTTTCAGAGGCATTTATTTGGAAACAATTTCTGTTGGAGTGTAAGAAATAGTTTCGCTTCTGCAGCCAGCAATGTATATGTAACACTTCAGATAGAACAGACCCAAATCTTAAAATATTTTTCCTGTTAAAAAAGTGTCATGGGTTAGTATTTGTCTCGTATATATAATAAAATAAATATTCATTCTTTTTAGGGTGAAAAAGGAGATAAAGGAGAACCAGGACCAGAAGGCATTCATGGAAGAGAGGTAAGCTGAATGATAATGAAACAGTCAAGTTACAAACTTTTGGGGGGATGATTAAGCGACGAAATTCAGAATTTATGTAAGGAGAGTAATGGATTTAGAAAATGTGTATGTATGGAGAGTTAACATCCACAAGACGATGGGCCAAGAAAAAGAGATGCATTCAGGTGAGCTGTGAGTTCTTAGGGCTTCAGGTTGGACAGGAGAGCTATGGGTGAGGAAGTGGTAGTTTCCATGATATTTCTGCTGAGGGCTCATGAGATAAACTGAAACAAGCATGGACATTAAAGCAACACAATATAAATGAGAATCATTCCTGGTTGGATAATCTGCTGGAAAAGAGGGTGTTTCTGGAGACAGCGTAAAGCTAGGTCTGGACCTTTGGTTTCTAAAAAGGAAAATATACAGAGAATTTGAGTTAACATTTCACTCTTTTTCTCTGCCAGATTTCACTGCCTGCTTAGTTAATTGATCTGGTCCATATTTGAGACAGAGCATGAATCTGTGTCTAAAAATACTGGATAATCCTGATCATTGAATTCACATTCAAGCTTGAACCTGAGCTAACACCATAGGCATGCCCAATAATAAACCTTACTTTTGCCTAATTTAGTTTTAAATTTAAATTTACTTTTCTATATATAAAACCAAGATGAGAGGACAGAAAATCAGAATTTTTGTCAATGCAATACTAAAATGGCCAACCAGCATGATTTGAACAGCAAGTTTTTTTAAAAAAAATAGTAAAATAAATCCAGCATTTTTCTTCATCCCCCTTTTCCACTTTTGTCTCCTCCTTGACCTAGCTGGGTGTCAACCTGGGTGTAGGTTTTAATACAGGATACTGTTGGTTCTCCAATTGCAAATTATCATAGTTGAAGGCTCACAGAGGGATCTGAACCTGACTGTCCAAATTCTGTGGGGAATGACTGGCATTAGGATTGGAATCCAGATACAGGATTTGTAAAAAACATTCAGCAAAGCTTTTTTAAGCAACTTTACCAAAAGAGTAAAAGGGTCAGCATTTGACACAAAAATGCTGTGACAGTCTAGCTGGGTCTACTGAAAATGCAGTAAAACAGACTACATAATTATGACCCTTTTTATGTCATCTGGCTTTCTAAACACACTGCAACTATAAAAATATTTTTCCTGTTTTAGTTTATTATAATTTAATGCTAGATAAATCAGGCTATTTTTGACTAATAGTAGATGTCCTCCATATGAAAACATGTACTATGTACTGAGCTGAAACTACATTTAGGTATTCAAAGAGGTATTCTCTTGTAGCGTGCCTGTCTGTAAAGGTGAATCATATACTTCTGTCATGCATACATAGATGCTGACAGCATGGAAAAAACACGTCTGTGTTTCTTTCCATAGCTCTGGGGACATTTCTGTGTTGGTCTTACACGATCTCCTTTACTACATGGGATCTTGTTCCATAAACCTTTTAGGAAGAGTAAGATATACCAAGTATCTGGTGAACTCTAGAACATATTTGTCATAATGGCACTGTGAAAGTGTAAAATATCGAACCTTTATATTTTGAAATATTTACTGAACTGTTGTAATGTGTCAAGAAATGGTAGCTTATCATTGTGGAAATTGTCATTAAAACATTTTGGAAGTAAAAGTGCACAAGGCAATAGAACATTATATTGTTTGAATCCACACATAATTCCTTTTTAACAACACATATAAAATGCTTTGGATTCAGTTATCACTGTGCATGGGGATGCCGGTCATTAAGTTTAAATTTAAATGACTGTGTATCATTGACTGTTGGTTGCTATCAGTGTCTCTCAAACTCATTCCACATACAGAAATGTAACATCTGATATTTCTGAAATAATCAAGTTAATCTGCTTTCACGGTTGTAATCTGCAGCGTTGTATAAAGAAAGCCTGAAAATACTTAAAGCTAGCGGTATCGGCTGCTGGCAGCTGTTGTCCCTCCCTGGGGGAGTGATGGGTTCCGTACTTTCAAGTGAAGAACTTGAAAATTATGACTGAACGTTTTATCTTGCACAAATGGTAGAAACATATTTGAATTTATTTTAATCAAAATCGGGAAAGTAGGTGTCACAGAACAGTTTTGCTTGCTGTTACTACTTGTGTTTTCTTAGCTGTACAAAAAGTTCTTGCTGGAATGAAGTAGCATGGCAGAGGGGAAGCCAGACCTGATTTGGAGACTAGGCCTTCTGTAATGATGAAGAGGTACCCAAAAAGTTTAATTCCCTCATCCCTCACTGGTTGTGCTAACTGGGTCAGTTAGTCTCATTGAGAACCAGGTTTGGATGCAGGAACTGTGAATATATTTAACTGCTCTACACATCTCCTGGTTTATCACTCCAGGAATCTGGGCCAAGATCTACAATGCCGTGTCCCAGTCTGGGAAATTATTCAAAATCCATCTGACAACATGAATACTTGCTATAAATACTAGTAATGTGGTTGCCATTGTTTTTAGCTTCTTAAGGAGTAGTTATAAATAACTTACTGCATTACTAATGTAGTCCTCCCGTGCTATGTATTCACATGGCATCTGTAAGCAGGTATTTGCCTGTATAATATGAACAGACGGTTTGCTTGAGTATTATCTCTGTTTTATCCCTTGAGACTTTTTTAGCCACTTGACATTAATAATGACATTTGTATCACTGTAACAAGTGGAGATTCATAGACACACTGCCTGAAAAAAAGCCTGATAAATGCAGTTTCTTCTCCATCATGCTCATATCCCATATGGAATAAGGACAGATTTGCAATACAAATATCCATGAAACTATCTGTGGAGTAAGATCTATGTTGTATTCATATGCTTGTCAGTTGAACTGAAATGGAAAGAAAATCTTTATCACTGAAACTTTTAGTCTCTTTTTGGAGTCATGTAATTTTCTTAATCAGTGGTGCAGGTAGGAAATGAATACCATGGGATACTACCAATTAATATTTTGCTGACATAAATGAAATCCTTCAGCAAAACTACGTGAAAACAGAAAGTTTTATCATATTTATCAGCACGTGTCATGCACAGCTAGAGGAAGAACAGACTCTTTCATGTAAATTGAAAAAAAAGTGTAAAAAAATCTGAAATTAAATTCTAGTATATAATCTCTACAGCATTAAGCCAAGTGATTCACTAATTATTTTTTTTTCTCCTGCTGGGAAACGTGATACCCTAAGTGACTTTTAAAAAACTTTCCTACATAAAATGTTGTTATTCTTTACATATCTGATGTCAAAGGATGGACCCCTGAAGTTCAATCAAAAAAATTGCAGGTTTTCAATGGAAAGATGGAAAACAGATTGGACCTTTTGTGGTTTATGCTTGTGTGAAAAGGTGAACAGAAATATGAACATTTTTAAAGGGATCCAATGTATTGATATGATAGTAACAGTTGTTCACCTTTACAACCTCATGGCCTGTCTCTCTAATCTTGAACTCTCTCAGTATTAGCATTGTAAGAAAATATTTGCATAGCAAGGGAGGAATCCTATTGCTTGAAAGTATGTAGTTGCTAATGATACTTAGTTATATCTAGAGCTTGAGGATTCTGTTAGGAATAAAAATATAAGGAGATGATAGGGATTGCTCAGGATCCAGAAAATTCTAGTAGTGTAGCAATTTGAAGTTTTTAAACTACATTAACAAGAAAAGAGCAATGGCAATAATTAGAAGTACAGGAGACATAAATTGAAAAATAGTATATTGTTTGGAGGTTTGAAAGTACTTTGCTAAATTAGGAAAGTTATCCTAACATATACAGCTTGGTGTTGTACAGCTGATTGAAGCTGTTGTTTTAATTTAGATTTTAAGACTGAAATGTGGAGAAAATGTAGTTCTGTTGTCTTACTCTTTAGAGTATTTCCAAGTTCTATTACTCAGTAGAGATTGTTGATTTGATCTACAATAATTTGGTTGCACATTGTTGGTTAGTGTGTGGGATTGTTTACTGTATTTCCAGTACTTTATATAATATGCATTGTTCCAGGAGATTTTAACCTGATATGAGTTTGAGCCAGATTACTCTAACGCAGGCCAGAAAATTGTAAATAATGAATGATATTTTTCCAAGCAGGTATCTTTCAGAGTGAAAAACCTCTTCTCCTCAAAAGATTATGCCAATTTTACAGCATTTTCCATTGCCGCATGCATGCAGCGTAGTATATACTGCACAAATAGGTGCATTCCCAGTGAGTGACACTTGACTGCTGCAGGGGCTGCTGGAGTCCTCTGGTTAGGGTCCAGCTGATCTTTGCATTTTTTTCATTGGGAAGAGCACCTGTCATCAGCTGCCAGTACGTTTTGCCCGTTTCGTCTCTTTTCTGTGATAATCTATGAGCACTGTCTGCTGTCTCTCTCTGAGAAAGTGTTCAGGGTATGATGCAGTTTTCTCAGGCCTCAGTGAACATGCAAGGGCATGTTAAATCAGAATTCATCAAGTAAAGCATTAGGGCGCAAAAAGCATGTTTTACTTGGAGGGAACACTTAACATAACAATTTTCCTAATGTTTCTGAACTCTAGAAAGAGTTTTGTTATTGATAATTTCATGCAAAGCTAACAATTCAGTTATTTCGGTACTCTTTTTCAGACTTCTCTGATCACACTCATGTCTGTTATTATGGTAAACATTTTGTTTCAGGGTGAGAGGTTAATGCCCTTCTCAGATATTTCCCAGCTGTGGATATGTAAGTAACTGATAGCAGCTGAGAAAAGGCCGTGGGCCTTGTCTTCTTCAACCCTACTGGTGAGGTTTGAGTTGTGGCCCATATCTGTCTTTTCATCTCAGTAGTTTGTCTTCAACGAGCTGTTACAGAGAACCCTGGCTCTCGCTGCCCTTGCTCCCTCTGGTCTCCAGTCCATACAGAAACTCTTCAGTCCAGTTGTCTGCTGCCAGGCAGCGTAAGCCTTAGAAATTCTGGCAGCTCTGTAAGAGTTTCCCAGTAAGCTTCCTTTCCTTACCCTTGCTTTCTTGAGGCTTCTGTGTTTGCTCCCAGATCAGCTCATTATCAGTCTACTGCTAAAAGACTTCCTCAAACTTCCCTGGCCTGTCATTCAAATCCCCCTGTTTGGGCTGCAGAGTTTTTGTCACAGGGATTGCCAGCTAGTCAGTCTCAGCTGGAGAGGTGTCTGCTCATTAAACCCTTACAAATCCTTTGTGTGGCTTTTAAACCCAGCTGAACATCATAGTGTCAATGTTAAAAGGAACAGACAAGTTTGCAAGAAAATCTAATTTACAGAAGCAGACTCCTTTAAATTACAGGATGCTTTCACCATCCTGTGCAAGCACCAACACACATTTCCCTTATTAATATAACCTCTGCAGCGTGTATGGGAGTACTCATAGAAGATGTGTACTTGGTTCAAGTTGTTGCTGTTGTTTGATGGGCAGGTTAGATGATACTCCTAGGGGCTACAGTTCCTTCCCAGTGTAGGTCCTGAGATGCTACAGGCATATGAGATGTGATTTCCCAGCACAAGCAGCAAGCTGTGAATCCTCTGTTCTCTTCATCTTCTGTCCTTTTTTGCTAGTGATGGTAGTAGTACCGGTTTGCAGATCATCTTGACCCAAAAGAAATGGTTTAAGGGAAAATGTTGTTTGGTTTTCTTTTCTTGCAAAATCTTTGACCGTTCTGATCTTTTCCAAATGACTGAAAACATAGGAAGTGAAAACCTGTTTCGTTTTCTGGTCCTGCTTATACCTGGCACCACTTCTGCATGATTAAAATGTTCTCAGACTTAGTAAGGAACATATTTACCACATCACTAAGTAAAGTTATTTTTTCTTCAATGTGGAACTCCAGAGCACAACAGACATTGTATGAGATTGTCACTGGTTTAAAAGGAAAATTCAAATAGAAAAACTGTTGCCTTTTATGCCAGTAGTGTTGGGACACCATTAATAAAATCCCATCCTTTGAAGAATTTGTGAAACTATGGTCCTTTTTAGAGTTTTAAAGTACAGTTACTGTTTTTCAGTTGTTTTCCTCTCCTAATCCAGTTGGTTTTATAGGCCGGCTAAGACTCCAGTAAATTAATATCACAGGAAAGTCTGCTTTAAATACTAGTCAAAAATAGCATCAACCAACTTGGTAACTTCTCCTTTAAATTCCTTCCACCAGAAGAAGTACCATTGTCACCCCCTTCCAAACAGAAAGCTTGCCTCTAGTTTAATCTTTCCCCTGTTGGCCCCAATTTTGCTGACTTTACACCCTTATTGATATTTGTCATAGACTTGTTCCAGTAATTTCTCCGTTGGTCAGCAATTCTGTTACAGTAATACCTGTCTTATTAAATATATATATATATATATAAAATTTCTGATTCCTGCCATTTCCCATGTTGTTATCTTGTTGGCCTTATACATGCATATTCTAATACTTACTTTACATTTTGGCATCCATAGAGGAACCATAATGTAAGCTTGTTCTGACCTATAAAAAGACCAACCTGTAGTCCTTACAGAGGAGAAAAAGTACCAGCTGAAGTCTGTTCATGAACTCACAAATGTGTATTATTATATTGCTTGCAAAAAGCTAGAATTAGATTGGGATACAATTCAATAATTCATTTACCCCCTGTTATGAGAGCTGCTGGAATTTTTACTCAGTTCTTGAACTTCTTGCAAATCTGGTAACAGACTCCATAGATCAATAGAAGACAGTTTGTTGTTTTCAAAACTGACCTCATTCTCCTAAAATATTGCAGAAAATAAGGTTTTCTAATTTAAAGCTTATCTAAAATCATCCAGATTGTACCTGTTCAGAGAACCACATCCATTTTACTGAAGCATCCGGTTCTGGTCTCTGCCAGAGATAGGATACTGTACTGTACTGTGCTGGAAGGGGCTACAGATTTGACTTAGCACAGGAATTCTTATTTCTTATGTCATTTCAGAGATAGTCAGCAGCAGCTAAACCTCTCGGCAGCTTTAAAAGGGTGGCTGTAGGGAGGAATAGGCATTGTGCAGTACCAGATGTGTTTTTACAGGCATTCACTATGTCTGGAACTTACTAAAATAATATTTTTTAAAAGATGTATAGTGTGTAGAACAAATCTAATGGGATAACCCCTTAAGCATTTTTTTTCTGATACTACTTTTCTTTCTTGGGGTTGTAAACTGCAAAGGAAAGCTAATTCAAGTATTTTTAAGTAAATGCTTTTTATAAAAATCTTCATGGGTACTCAAAAATCCTGCTTCAAACACTGTAAGGTTTGTTGTCAAATATGTAGTTTCCCCTTGTCCTTTTTATGAGAGGTCAACCTCTGTGGTCATTGTCTCTGCAGTAGCTGTCAAACTGCATACCTCACCGAGGTGCACTGCAGGAACACTACTAAAAGCTTTAAACACACCAATTAGGAAAAAATGAGGTTCATAGTTTGACAGTGCGTGGCTTAGGTTCCATATCTTTCATCTGCAGTTGTCTTTTCTATTCAGCAGAGGCACACAGATATATCACCGTGAGTTGCAGATTTTTTTTTTGCCCTTATCTTTTCTCTTCTGTAAATATACAGCCTAAGAGCTAATTCTGAAACCTATTGTTCCACTGCTGATTTGCTAATATTGATTTTGAACCAAATCCATACAGTTTGCATACCTGAAAAATCCCTAAAATGGCTTTTTAGAATATGGAGTAGTTGTGTTTTATGCAGTCTTTCAGAAGGAGGTGAAAAGTAAAATGTAGTAAATGGAGACAATATTAAAACTATGTCATAAATATGCAGATTGTAAAAAGAAAGCAATTTTTTGGCTTGGTTTTTTGTATCCATCTGCCTATTACATTTTTTAAGTTCAAACAGCAAAACTACTTCTGATTTAACTATTACATATTTGGCAAGCTTAATAAAGGACAAATCAAAGCTAAATCAGGGGTATTTACAACAACCACAAATTTAATCCAAAGTGGGTACTTAAATGCTCATATAGTTCTAAATGATGTTCCTTCCAGATGGTGAATCAATGTAATTTTAGCAGGAAGTGAAGTTGCACAAATATGCAGTATTTAGAACACTCACTGATTTAATGTTTCTGTACCCACCAAGGCACAGATGTTACTTATCATTTTTGTGCCAGTTGTCTCTATCTTTCCAATTATTGCAAACTGAGGAAGAGAGTTTGCAAGAGCAAAAAGGGGGCTGGGAAGAACTTAAGTTAAACCCTAATTCAGATGTAGATGAATCTTTTCTGTCCTCAACCTTCTTAACCTCCACAATAATAACCATGGTGGCCTACTTGTGGAGTATCTCATTGATTCAGTCCTGTATTGCCTAAATTTTTGCCATTTGGTTTCTAAGTAAAATCTTTGAACCTGTAGAGCTGTCTCTGACTTACAGTGTACGTGCTCTCCTGTCACATGCCTCTAAAGCCGTCATCGGAGGGAAGGCACAAGACAAATCTCTTGGCTTAGACAAAAAGGACTTCCTCGTAGGTTGGTCCAGCATCAGAATTAAGGTATTTTAGGTATTGTAAAGGGTAGATTCAGACTAGATATAAGGAGTAAATAAGATGAGGATGCTGGAAATACTGGAACAGGTTGCCCAGAGAGGTGATAGATGCCTATCCCTGGAAACATTCAAGGTCAGGTTGGACGGGGCTCCGAGCAACATGACCGAGTTGAAGATATCTCTGCTTTATTGAAGGGGGGTTGGACTAGATGACCTTTAAAGCCCCTTGCAACCCAAACCATTCTATGATTCTGCAGTTGTGAAATTCATGCATATGTAATGTGTAAAACTAGGCAGTATTACCTGCTTCTCTAGCTGAAAGCAGAACTAAGGAGGGAGGTATGAAGGACTGCAGTATTTCTCTAATTGGCTTTTCAAACACTGGTGGTGATTGGAGTGTTGGAGGATGTGCAGCAGCTCTGAGCGGTACATTGCTGTAGTTCACCAGCTCAGCATTGCTGCCTGAAACATAGAATCCACAGCTCTCTGTCCACCTCTGCCTCTTTCCCAATTTTAGCAAAGGTTAAGTGAATATGCTAGTACTTTCTCTAGTACTCTATTTATCTTTGTCAGCCATGCAAGACACAGACCTACTGGGACTGCAAAGGAACTTTGCATTTCTACAATCTACTTGCCATAATGGGGCACAATCAAGTAGATCGTTTGGCTGTGTATGTTTAATTATGTGTTGAAGACAGATGCAGTCTTCGATACATGTTTCTCTGTTCGCAAAATAATGAAAATAAAGAATTGTGAGATAGTAGTACTAATAATGTGATAATATTTTAAGGCTTAGTTGGTTAGTGTATACTAATTCACAGCACTACAGGATTTTGTCCAACACATTCCCCACATGACAGCAAATATGCACTTTTCTTCTTTGCCCAGGGACTAAAAGGTGACCCTGGTAGTCCTGGTGTGGCTGGTCCTAAAGGAGAAAAGGTACTTTTAAATCTGTAAAGTTGTATGTATATGTGAGCGTGCATGATATTTTTTCAATATTGAACACATTACCTTATCTACTTGTGATGAACAACCACTGCTGCTGTTGGTGTGGCATAAGGGTTGAAGAATATGAATGCAGATAACTGTAAGTATGGAAGACAAGTATTTATCACAACAAATTTTGAAAGAAGTTCAGAGCAGGAGCCCAAATTCGATGTTCTGAATTCCTTTCTGGGTGCTCTGATTTGCTCCCATGGACTGAACCTGAAGGTCTCACAGCGTGATTCATACCTCAGCGACCTAATTCTGTGAACATTTTACACAGTCAGATGTCTTTACACATGTGAGCCACCACACTGACTTCAGTAGCCACCTTGTGCATGTAAGCTGCAGCTTGTAATTTAACATATGCAAATGTGTTTTGAAGGATTGCTTTTTTTAAGCTGTGATTCATTTTTGCAGAGGCTTGCTTTATTTTTTCCATTTAACCTGCGGTGAACTGTGTACATCTACGCTATTACTGAAAAAGACTATTGCTTTACTCATATATTTTCGTAATCAGAGCATGTTTGATGATTATACTGAATTTACTTCTGCAGTGGTGCATATCCTCTAAAATGCCTAGAGGTTAAATACGTATAACGAAAGAGATTGACGATTTACTTACTCTTCTGTTTTAACTAGGGAGATGCAGGACCTCCAGGACCAGCTGCCTTGAGTGTAAGTACACGTAAAACACAAACAGACAAAAGAAAATCCCTAAGAAATGTTGCCATTTTTAGCTTATCTGCAATGTAAATACTTTCATTATTAAATTTAAGAGCCAAGTCCCTCTCTTAAGAATGCCTCTGCATTTTCTATATGAATTGTGAAGCAGGGAAAAGTGAATTTTATAAATTTAAATAAAATAAGCATATTTAAAACATCTTGTTTCCCACCAAATGCTAACAAGAATATTGGGGGTTTATTCTGTGTATAGACAGTATAGGCTGGTTAAAGTGAAAGAATTCCCTTGTTATTTTTAGTGAAAAACATTTTTCAGTAAAAGTTTGCAAAACTAATTAATGCTTTTTAAGATATTGTAAATATTCTATTGTCAGGTTATTTTATCAAGTATTTAGTTATTAGTGCAATGCCGTATGTACAATATAGTATTATATATAGCATGCATATGTTCAAATTTGACACCCAGGACCCTATTTTCAGAAAGTTAAGGGTGTGGGGATACATCCAGCAGCCAGATAGATGTAAGGTTGCCACAGCTCCTTGCCCTCAGGTCCAACTGGTAGTGAGGCTGAGTGTGCATTCCCAGTAGGCACCCAAACACACATACAACACATATAGACAGGTCTGGCCACATAGGTCAACACAGATGGACACACTCAGCACTGCCACAAACACAAACAGCACCATCAGCCTCATCCTGTTACCCTCTCTGGCTGATCGTGATGACAGTCTGGTTCTGGGAAATATATACATCTATACAATGTACATCCCTCTAGTAGCTGAGCTGACACGCAGCCTAACCAGTAGATGCCACTGCTCTGGCTCTCTCCAGTTACTGGCACCTGGACATGCAGTCCCCCTGAGGCTCACAGCCCCACTCCAGTTACTGGTGCAAACCTACTCACAGACACCCATGCAAAAACACGGTTGTACACACACACACACACACACACACACACATGCCAGTCCAGCTTGATATTTGCTGTT